GTGTGTGTGTGTGTGTGTGTGTGTGTGTGTGTGTGTGTGTGTGTGTGTGTGTGTGTGTGTGATGTTCTTCTCGAACGGAATAACTTTTCCAAAGTTGGACAAAAATGTCTTTTAACTTTTTTATCCGAGAATAGAACGAAATTTTGCTGAAACTTACGTCGAAATCGATCGACGTTGTTACGAGCTAAAAACAATTAATAATTATGAAAATCTGCAGTTTCTTGTGATTAATGGCTGTATAAGAAATCTGGAGATTATTTAAATTATCGTTCTAAACTCATTGAAAAGGGAAAAGCATATCATTTTCTAATTTTTGTATCATTTCATCCAATTACAATTTTTGCACGAATTTGTTTAAACACTGTCTAGCAAACTGGTTCATCTAACATCTAAAAATAAATTCAAACCATGCGGTCCAATTTTGAAAAAGCTATTGAAAAGGTATCGAAATGTTTTCGCGAGCGACTGTAGTCCTCGAAAAACTTTTCAAGTTGCACCCTTTCCACGAGTTCGACGCGACTTTTTATTTTTTGGGGGAAATAGAACTGAAAGAATTCGAGCAAGTATAAAGTGTACTTCAATCGTGCTGCGTCCAACGTGTAAAGACCACTGTGCCAATTCGCCTGTGATGAATTTCACCCTCAGAAACTCACGTATTTAGGTTACCGGAGAAAGATCTAGGGAAATATCTCTGAAAACGACGCAGTCATACAAGAAAACGCGTCGAAGAGATTTTTAAAGCTTTTTAAAGAAAACAAGAAAACTTCGGCGAAATTGTCAAAATCGGATTGTTTTAAAACTGAAAATACTTTCAAATTTAATTAAGACAATGATGCCAAACATATGGCCCGATTAGTAGAGGAATATTTGTTATATAATTGCCACCAAGTATTACTAGAAGTATCCATGGGATGACTCAAATCGAAGAACTAGAAGAAAAAACAATAAGTTCAAAAAGTGAATTGCAAACAAGATAAAATGAAGAATAGGATTTTCTATTTATCCAGAATATCCAAACAAACAAATTTGCAATATGACCGAACGGTTAATTAAACTTACTAAATTATTACTTGTTATTAAACTTAGAACAAAGTTTCGAACATTCACAGCTGCAAAATCGGTCTAAACATTTCGGGATCACAAGGGGAATCCTTTTTCTTTCTTGAAAAGGTCCTACTAGTTTCCTCTTGTTACTTTTAGTTTTATTCATGTCTATTACTGAAAAATCGTTTATTACTTTTGTAGTTTTAATCCATTATTTTAATGTAAAAACGTTCGCTCAGGCTAGGGCTCGGAATTAACCAGCACGCAACATTAGGATCGCGAGGGCTACGCCTCCTGACTCCCGTCGCGCATCTCGCTCTCCATGGTCGCCCCTTTCGGCTCGTAGCACGTCAGATGCGTGTGCCTGTTGCTTTGTATATATGTGTTGTATTTGTGTGTGTGTGTATACAGTATTTAGGCTAGGGCTCGGAAATAACCAGCACGCAACATGGGGATCGCAAGGGTACGTCTCCTGAGTCCCGTTGAGCGTCTCAATCCTCGATGATCGCCTAAATGCTACACACACACATCCATACATAAAACAACAGTTAATCGAACCACTAGCATTTGAAATGCAATCAGAATCTCGTTTTTAAAATGAATTCGTTACCATTGCTTCTAGCCGAATACTTATTGCCAGGGGTTCTACTATTTCATTCCCACGTCAATTCGATAAACACGAATGAATAAGACACCCCGCGCGAAAGGCTTAATTATTATTATATTATATTATTATTTTATTATATATATTATATTATATATATTATATTATACGCTTATGTATTACGCTTATATATTATACGCTTATTATACGCTTATATATTATATCATATATATTATATTATATTTGCTGGAAATGAAACTTGCACTCGCACAAATCGCGACTCCCGAACAACAGCCGATCCGTCCAAGCTGCAACGTAAAAATCGATCGGAAGCGGCACGGGAAGTTCGTGACAGAATGTTTCTACACCGAAGAATCGATCGTGGACCGGCACGGCGGCAGGTTCCTCGGCAAGGCAATATTTTGAATCGCGTCGCTACGCCGGGGAAGAAGCGGCGGGGGCAGCGTCGCCGTTCGGCTTCGACGCTTTGTGCATCGATTCACGGATTCGCCGGTCGTATTGAACTTGATCCCATTCCTCGCAGCCCAATTAGCCCACATATAGATCCGCCCATGGTATCGTGTGGGGTGGCTTTCGCGGGGAGTGTGCGCAGTGACAGGGTGAGCGCAGCTTCTGGGGTTGGAGGAAAGACAGAGGCCGGAGGCCGAATGCAGAAGCAGGAGGCAGAAGCGGCGGCAGAGGCAGAGAGGAGTTAGCCTGTGGCGACGCGTCGAGTAGACACGTCGCGATCCCCGACGCCGAAACATCCCCCGATCATGCGAGCGTCGGGCGCCGGTAGCGGGCCACCAGTTTCGTCCCTCTCGGTCGCATCTCGCCCATCGAGATCATCATCCTCTTGCCCCTCCGCTCGCCTTCGGCTGCCAACGGCCACCGTTCGCCGCTGCACCACTCGATTAATCGCCGCTTAAATCGGATCCACCACCCAGCCGAGATTCGTTTGCGCCGCGAGCCTCGACACAGCGGCACCCTTCGAACAACTGCGAACACCGTAGTACCGGCCGCGGAGGTGGGGGCGGGAGGGCGGGGGGGAGGGGCCGAGAATCTGGAACACGAACAGGTGGTGCCGCATTAGTCCAGCGCACGGGAGAGATATAGCGGGAGAGAGAAGTAACAGGTACTGTGACGATTACGCTTCCTTCTTTCGCGATACCGTTCGTATCTCGCGCGCCCACGCCCTCGAATTTTACGAACGCGAATGATTTTCCCGCGCGCGCCGGCAGGCCTCTCTAGTCCACGCCACGGTTATTTTCAACTTCGAACGTACCTGCACGTCGGGAATTTGCCCATCTTCGTGTCTTCTCGCGCGGATTTCGCAACCCTTCCCGGCGATGCTGCGCGAATTCCGGCGGACCGTTCCGATACGCTGGGACTCGGCTGGCTGATTTTATCGGACGTTCTTCCTCGGAGTTCCACGTTTCGCGAGATAAAACGGAACGTTTGGATTTCGCATCGATTTACTGCGGATTTCTGTTTTAACACTTGTGTGTGCGTGCGTATGTGTGTGGGGGACGATTTTCTTTGAACGTTTGCGGGTAAGTTTCGCGCGATGATTCGTTGACGTCGCGGGGAGGTTTTCGCGTGGATTTCAATCGGGAATTGTGATTTATGCATGCTGCGATGGAAATACTTGCGACTGTGCGCGCGATATATCGCGGCCGAAAGATTTTTTTTAACGCGGGTGCGGCAACTGCTTCGCGGTTTTGTTTAACGATTTTTAACTATCGCCGAGGCTTTTATAATCGTTTTAGTCAGCAACGTGGTTATTTTCGTTTATCGACGTTTCGATGGAAATGCTTGTGTGTGTGTGTGTGTGTGCGCGATGCATCGAAAGACACTGTTTAAGCACTTTCGTATTGCTTACGTTAGGCTCCAGATCAGCATTTATCGAGTAATAATTGATATATTGCCACTTATTTGAACGATTAATTCTTCGGCTTTATCGATGCTCGGTTTTTCATGCGAATTATTTCGATTTTACTATCTGCGATCGAAATAAGCCGAGCTTTCGATTTCGTGTCAAAGCGGATTTTAATATTGAATCTTTTATTTTATCGAGTTCAGTGTTGACATTTGTTTCAGTAAATTTGGCGCATATATTAATCCAGGGAAACGTTTGATTTCATAAGAAATTCGTCCTAAACGTTTCACTTTCGAATACATCGTTAGCACTTATTTTCGAGACTGTATATTAAATATATGTATAAATTTTAACCAATTTTCTCGAAAACGCAGTTATTCGATATTTTTACAGGATTTCTGGATTGGACGATCGATCAATTTCTAAAAAATCGCATTACCGATTGCACATTGTTTCTTTCGTTTCTATCGAACGCCTCATGCTTCGAATTTTAATTATTTCGTTGATTCCTCGCGCACGACGCCCTTTGATTTATTTCGCGCGGTGTGCCACAAATTTGATAAACGTAAACGAGCGTGAAAGAGTTTGGAGAAAAACGTAATGGTAGAACGCACGACTAAATTGTGCATTTTACGAGCTATTATTAGGATGTGATTGATCGGAGTTCCGAACTGTGAAACTCTGATACAAATTGTTGGCGAGGTGTTCATTTTCTGTAGAACGTGACGGAATCGTTGCAATTAGTGGACTAATCTCTGCGTATTTCTCGGCTAAATTACGCGATAATAATTGATATCCTCGGAAACCTGTGTAGTTTATTTGTAAAAATTCGATGAAAAATTCGTTCGTTGTAAAATAACGAAATTTAATCTGAGAAATCCGGGAAAGATTGTCAATGTTTTTTCTATGAATCGTACTGCGGCTAAATCGATAGGAATTTATTATTGAAATAAGTGAAGGATTATGTCACGTAAATGTCAAACGTAATTATTATCTTACAATATGTTACAATATGTAATAATGCGTTATTTAAATTTTTTCCAAAAATGTTTAGGAACTTTAAGCGTCGACGTTGCTCAAAAATATTCCAGCAGTTCCACTGTTTTTAAAGAATATTGTTTGTATGCTGGTTAGAAGATCCTCCAGAGATTCTGATCTCGATTTATAATCTTTGTGAATAATTTATTCCATCAATTTGCAATAACTAAATTGGAGAAATATTATCATAAATCATTCTTTCATCTGTTAAATGAGCGATAAAGATTATTCAATTTTACTGCTTAGCACGTTCTATTAATATTTACTCATCTTTACTGTAATAACGAATGCAATGTTAACGTAATTATGAGTGACAGTGCATAGAGGTCTCCAATTATCCAGAAATTTCATCCTGCGATGGAGACAAAACAATATTTCTCGCTATGATGGAGTTATATACATGCATACGATGCTGAACAGTGATTTCTGTTTGCATTTAAATTGTTTTTTCGGTAATACTTTAAAGATCAATTCGACAGTTTTCGGAAATGGTGGAGTTCCAGGTATATTTTTTACGAAATATGTTTTCGAAAACAGTGTTTGCGGTGACAGGACGATCTGCTTCGAATTTGATCTCAATCGAGAAAACAGGGTATTCCATGAAAGTGGACGAATGGAACGTGTAAATACGTGTTGATATTGATTGCTTTTAATTCTATTAAAATGTATTATGCCAAATTTGAAAGCAATCCAATTATAAAAGCACTTGACAATTGTGTGAAAAACAATATTCAAAAATAATAATCGAAAGTGCAGCTAAATCAAATATCAAAATGATATCGGCGCACTTTTTAAAAGCGTTTAAAATTAATAAAATTATTATATAGGAAATACAATGCGATAGAGAAAATTCTGTATTTGAATTAACGTAAAGTCGACGTTTACACCCCAAAAAATCTTTAGGAAAGTTCTTTCAAAAGTAATACATATTTTTTATAACATGTTTTCAGCCTCCTTTGGGTTTTAAATTATCATTATATAAACGTCTCATTTGCATCGTAAAACATAAAATCCACAATCCAAAATTTGTTTGCACTGAATTGTGCAAGAAGCTTTAGTTGCCACTGTAGCAACTTCATGCTTAGATCCGTGTTCAAATTTTTGTAACAGCAGAACACAATTTCATTTCAATTTAACTCGTTTATACAATCAGTGTACCAAAGGTGACGTCCTGTACAATGCAAGACGAACGAAGGTGCACCACCCCCTTCGAAAGAATATTTTAAAGAGGATTCAAAATGAGAATTGTCGAGTATTCTGGGATGTTGTAAGTGTTTGAAAAACTAAATGGCGTGCGTATTTAGTAAATTCTGTTTGAAATCTTCATGGCTGGTCTAACTCGATGGTATATGACAAGGGGTTAATTACAGTTCCGGAAGTTTTCGCTTTGCTTTCAACCACAGCCCCACTTGGAAACAATTTATAATGATCAGAACTTCTTCGTGCTGAACAACTTCCATGGCAAAAAGTAAAAATTATTGCAACTCTCAGTTTATATCAATGCTGAGATTTTTACAACTACAGTAGGTAATCTTATATTCACAGTTGTAATTAGTCCGCGGATTTTATGCATTTATGACGGAAACGAATAGATAAAATTCGAAACAGCGAAAACGTTTGAAGACGCTGTTGCGTTATGTTCGACACATTAAACATGTTAAGAACGAATATATATTGTCTGCAGTGAATGTAGGATGCAGAAAGTTAACAGGCTTAAGATTAATATAACTAATATAACTAATATAGGTATATATGCATTTTGCAGTCAATGCAGACAATTTTTATTTCGCATGAATATTCGCAGTTTGGTTATAATACTTCAAATTTCAATTTTAATCAACGACTGCCTAAGCACAAAGGAAATTGATAACTGTATTATAATTCTGTATTTGTATCAGTGCTCAAATCGTCGTAATAACAGCATAGATCTTTATTTCGATTCAGAAGAAACAAGCGGCGCTGACATTTATTAAATACCGTTTGCAATCTCCATCATAGGTCTGACTCGGTAACATATGCCAAGGGTTAATTACAGTTTCGAAACTCCTGGTTTTCAGCCGCGAGCATAATTGCAAAGAATTTCCAATAATCAAAATGTTTTAGCGCTTAACAATTTCCTAGAAAAGAAGGCAAAAGCTGTTGGCCCTCTATTTTCAAAATACCAGTGGCTCGAATTATTGCAACAGCAGAAGACAATTTCATTTCGATTTGAGAGAACCGAATGACGTCAATATTTAATAAATTCGAATGAATTTGAAATAATCACTACATCTCCGTATTCAATAAATTTCTAGAAAAGAAGGAAAACAACTGTCATAACTAGATTGCGGATCTTTATGCATTTATGGCAAAACTGAATAGGTCAAATATAAAACTGTAGAGACATTAAAAGAATTTAATGATATTGTTACATTATTATCAACATATTACAATTATTCAGAGCGAAGACCGCAGTTTCATGTAACTGACGCTTGTTATAAAATTCAAACAATGCTTATTTTTCATCAAGATCCGTGATCCAATTACAACTAGACTGCGGACTTTATGTTCTTATGAGAAAAATGTCTGGATCAAATTGCAACCAGTGTAACAAACATTTCATGAACTTGAAGTTACTGTTGTATTGTGTTTCACTCGTTACAATTATAACGAAAAAAATAAACGCCTGTGTAGCTTTTACATCTTGCAATCGAAGCAGACAATTTTTATTTTGCATAAAGTTCCGGGATCTGTCTTCTGATATTACAATATTTTCTGCTCGGTCGTAGACAGAGAGTTACAGAGGCTCATGAAAGTGTTTGAACACCTTTCACAACGCAATAATTTTTTTTCAAATCGGAGAAAACGATCTGAATTTTTTTTTAGACAATAGGGGGACTAGTCCACTAGATAATGATTGGAATACTTTTCCTTAATTTTGCTCTTACTTGGAATGACAAAAAAGGTAAAAGACTCTAGTTTTATAACATTTTTGATCTGAGCCTATAGCAAAAATCTTAAAAATGCCATTCGTAGATCGCGGCAACTCGTACGCATGCTGAAAATTGTATCGAAATCGGTCGACGCAAAGTTATTGCGTTACGAAAGGTGTTCCGAACACTTTCTTGAGTCTCTGCAACCCTCTGTCTACGTCCGGGCATAAAATATTGTAATATCAGAAGGCAGCTTTATTTCAATTTGAAAGAAACGTCCGACGTTAATAATTCCGTGAATTCATT